ACCCAGACTAAAATGGGTAGCATTAATCTGTACTGAGAGCCCGTCTCTCTATCGTAGTTGGCTTAACCGGATTGCGCAGTGAGCGGGTGACGAAGTCCTTGTGGTCCGAGTTCACTCCCGGGGGTAGGCAGAAAAGCCACATTTCTCCAGATTTACGGTATTTACAATGGAATCAAGGCCGAAAGGTTGCGATATCCATAATACCGAGCCTAAGGGTTAACAACTTATGGTTTCTGGAGAATAAAACAAACAATCTGTACTGAGAAGTAAATGTTGCCAACTTAACAGCTACCACATAACACATCAAGTACCAGTAATACTGCTATCACTACCACCACCACCGTCACAACAAAAACAACACAAAACTGTCACTACTGTCTGTGCAGGTCGTTTTAGCCAGAGGAGTTAGCACCGCATGCTGTCGCCACGGACTGTTTAGTTTAACTGTGCCCCCAACATTTAAAAAAAAAACTCCATTACCTAACCAGTGATGGAACCCACAGTACTATTCTATGATTGAAAAATAGTACACTATACTCACAAACAGCGGAAATAAAAATCCGCACCCGTCATCTCTCTCTCTCCAAAGGGACGATTTTTAATTAACTTTTGCATCCGTGTCGACCCAAACCAAACTGGACGCTTAGCCGTCTTAGTTAACAGTTTCTGTCATCGATGAATAGTGTTTGATCGAGTGAAGCGTCGGATGGAGGCAAAGTGGGACTTTACCGAATCTGATGTCTTTAGGCGAAAGGCGCAGCTATCGCAACCTAGCTGTAAACCACAACACAACGTTCCAACCGCCCCTTCAAGTGAAAAAGAAATATTAGCACCCTGCAGGGAATTGAACACCAGTCACCCGCGTGAAGGGCTGAATACTTACAACTATACTACCGACGACTGAAGACTTTAGTTCAGATATCGCAGCTTAGCTGTAAACCACAACACAACGTGCCAACCGCCCTCTCAAATATTACCCGTGACATGACCAGTGAGAATCACGTCACCGCTATCGCTAGCTAGCTGTAAACCCCAAAACCGACCCAAAAAAAGCGTAAATATCGCAGCCTAGCTATGAACCACAACAATACGTGGCAGCCACCCAGTTAGGGGCTCCTCAAAAAAGAAATATCATCCAGCGGGGAATAGAATACCGGGCACCCAAGTGAGGCCTGAATACTTACAACTATACTACTGAAGACTAAAGACTTAAGGTCAAATATCGCAGCATAGCTGTAAACCACAAAACAACGTGCCAAATGCCCTCTCAAGGACGAAAAAATATTACACGTGACATGACCAGTGAGCATCACGTCACCGCTATCGCTGGCTAGCTGTAAACCCCAAAACCGAGCAAAAAAAAAAAAAAAAGGCGTAAATATAGCAGCCTAGCTATAAACCACAACAAAACGTGTCAGCCACCCAGTCAGATCCCGCCTCAACAAAAAATTTATATCATCCAGCGGGAAATCGAACGCCGATTAACAGCTTGAAAGACGGAATGCTTACAACTATGCTACCAAATACTCATGCATTTAGTAGAAATGAAATTATATAATAATAATGTGAAGTTCAGTGTAACACAGACAAAGGCAGCCAATCAACTAAAAACAAATCCGGGCCGGCAACGAAACAACTAATGAAATGATCGTTGCTGGAGCTACGTAGTTCATAGTTTGTGCAAAACTCATACATAAAAACACGCGCGGAGTCTAAGGCAAGGTTTTGTGAAAATTTGAAAGCCATCGGTAAAGAAATGTCGGAGATGGATCATGTGGAAAAAGGCATCTTTTGGCAGCCCTGCTCAGCAGTCAAAGGCAGCCAATCAGCTAAAAACAAATCCGGGAGGGCAACGAAACAAATAATGATTTGACCGTTGCTGGAGATACGTCATTCGTGGTTTGTGCGATTTTCTGACAAAAAATCACGCTTTGAGTCAGAGGCAACGTTGTGTGAAAATTTGAAAGCAATCGGTTCAGTAGTTTCCGAGTTTAGAGTTAACAAACTAGGGAAATTACCATTTTTATTATTATAAATGATTGGTCAATTTTGCAGCTTATGTTTTCGATTTTCTCAAGTACCCACGTTTTGTAGTATCCTTGAGTTAAAGTTATGTGCTGATTTCTCCCATTATCTATTTTTTTTTTCAAAGTGTCTGTGTATATATCTTTTGTGTTGGTACCTTTATGTCCCTCAAGATGTTATTGTTTTGTTATGTTATGATATACATAGACGAGGAATCACATCTTTTGGCCATGGCGATTGCGACACTGTATAGCAGGAAACGTTCACCCCCCCCCCCCCCACGCCCCCCCCCCAAAAAAAAACGTGTTTGTGTACATGTCGTTTGTGTTGGCACCTTTACGTCCCTCAAGATGTTACTATTATGTTTTGCAGAGGCAAGAAATCACACCATATGCTCATGGCGATTGCGAGTACCATTCCCATTTTCGAAATAAATTGATAAACATTAAACATTTGTGTCTGTTTTGTTTCCCAGGGCCTCTGGTAACACTGGTAGGCGGCAGTCGCCAGGAGGAAGGCCGAGTGGAGATCTACCATAACGGTCTATGGGGATCCTTATGTCACGTGAATTTAACCCACTCGGAGGCTGATAGCATATGTCGCCATCTTGGTTTTGAAGGCGGTATCTCTGCTGGGCCCGGCCATTTTGGTCCTGGGTCAGGCGTCACGTGGGTCTTCAATGCTTCGTGTCTGGGTGCAGACTCCTGCTCATTGGTGACCTACACAGAAGAATCTGGTCACTGTAATCATGACCTGGATGCTGCAGTTCTGTGCGGTAAGTGTTCATCTCCATGCGTGAAATTACATGCAGCAATTTATTACATTTAATTGTTTGAATACAAACGGTAACGTTATCATCGTTAGATGTTAAAATTAAAACTGTGATTTTATCATACTTAGATAGTTAAATATAAAAGTAACTTTATCTCTTTTAAAAAGTTAAGATGAACAATGTCTTTTCGTTCTCACATGAGAAGGGGGGGGGGGGGGGAACTATCGAAAAGAAAAAAGAAACTATCTTAATTAGATTGAGTCAGGAAAACATTAACCTTATCATTCCTAGACTTGAGAATATAAACTAGCTTTATCGTTCTGGGACATAAGAACATAAACACTATCATTATCATTGAGGACATAAACAATAACTTATATCACAATGGGACGCGAGAATAATAACCTTAACTGTAATATTCTCAGACATAAAATTATAAAGACTCCTTTTATAATTATTAGACAAGAGAATATAAACACCAATTTATCATCCTTAGAAGTGAGAATATAAACGTTAAATTACATTATGATACGTGAAAACATGAATATTAACTTTATCATCTTTAGTCGTGAGAACATGAACACTAGATTTATCATGCTGAGACTTGAGAACATGAACACTAGATTTATCATACTGAGAATTGAGAACATGAACACTAGATTTATCATAATGAGAATTGAGAACATGAACACTAGATTTATCATACTGAGAATTGAGAACATGAACACTAGATTTATCATACTGAGACTTGAGAACATGAACACTAGATTTATCATGCAGAGACTTAACATGAACACTAGATTTATCATACTGAGAATTGAGAACATGAACACTAGATTTATCATACTGAGAATTGAGAACATGAACACTAGATTTATCATGCAGAGACTTAACATGAACACTAAATTTATCATGCTGAGACTTGAGAACATGAACACTAAATTTATCATACTGAAACGTGAGAACATGAACACTAAATTTATCATACTGAAACGTGAGAACATGAACACTAAATTTATCATACTGAGACGTGAGAATATGAAAACAAAATGTATCATACTGAGACGTGAGAACATGAACACTAAATTTATCATACTGAGACGTGAGAATATGAACACAAAATTTATCATACTGAGACTTGAGAATATGAACACTAAATTTATCATACTGAGACTTGAGAATATGAACACTAAATTTATCATACTGAGACTTGAGAATATGAACACTAAATTTATCATACTGAGACGTGAGAACATGAACACTAAATTTATCATACTGAAACGTGAGAACATGAACACTAAATTTATCATACTGAGACGTGAGAACATGAACACTAAATTTATCATACTGAGACGTGAGAATATGAACACTAAATTTATCATACTGAGACTTGAGAATATGAACACTAAATTTATCATACTGAGACGTGAGAACATGAACACTAAATTTATCATACTGAAACGTGAGAACATGAACACTAAATTTATCATACTGAGACGTGAGAACATGAACACTAAATTTATCATACTGAGACGTGAGAATATGAACACTAAATTTATCATACTGAGACGTGAGAATATGAACACTAAATTTATCATACTGAGACGTGAGAATATGAACACTAAATTTATCATACTGAGACGTGAGTATATGAACACTAAATTTATCATACTGAGACGTGAGAATATGAACACTAAATTTATCATACTGAGACGTGAGAATATGAACACAAAATTTATCATACTGAGACTTGAGAATATGAACACTAAATTTATCATACTGAGACTTGAGATTATGAACACTAAATTTATCATACTGAGACGTGAGAACATGAACACTAAATTTATCATACTGAAACGTAAGAACATGAACACTAAATTTATCATACTGAGACGTGAGAACATGAACACTAAATTTATCATACTGAGACGTGAGAATATGAACACTAAATTTATCATACTGAGACGTGAGAATATGAACACTAAATTTATCATACTGAGACGTGAGAACATGAACACTAAATTTATCATACTGAAACGTGAGAACATGAACACTAAATTTATCATACTGAGACGTGAGAATATGAACACTAAATTTATCATACTGAGACGTGAGAACATGAACACTAAATTTATCATACTGAAACGTGAGAACATGAACACTAAATTTATCATACTGAAACGTGAGAACATGAACACTAAATTTATCATACTGAGACTTGAGAATATGAACACTAAATGTATCCTAGTGAGACGTGAGAATATGAACACTAAATTTATCATACTGAGACGTGAGAACATGAACACTAAATTTATCATACTGAGACGTGAGAACATGAACACTAAATGTATCCTAGTGAGACGTGAAAACATAAGCATTAAATTTATCATACTGAGATTTTAGAAAATAAACCCCTAATTTTCAGACTGAGGCGTGAGAACATAGACACTAATTTTATCATACTTTGACGTGAAAACGAGAAATTTATTATTCTGAGCCATGAGCAGGTGAACACTAAATTTAGAATTCTTAAGCATGGCAATATAAACAATAGCATGCTTCACACATATGATAGCACTTATATTTTCGAATTCATATTTGGAGAAAAAAAATCATGTTCTGCTTTACACATATGCCATAAACACAGTCTATATTTTTTACACTGACATATTCTCTCTATATTAATGAATATGAACATTAACTTAAGGATCATATTATATTAATCCACGTTAATTATTTATTTCTTTACGTATAAATCATTACATTGTCATATTCTCTCTATGCTCACGATTATGAACATCAACATAAGGATCATATTATGTTAATACATGCGAGTACTGTATTTCTTTATAAATAAATTATTACACTGACATTATATCTTTATACTTACGAATATGAAAACTAACTTATGGATCATTTATATTAACCCATTGAGGTATAATACTATCCTCAACTCCATCTATTAACAAAGTGATTGGGTGGCCAAACATTTTAGGACCATGTGTCACATTTAGAATTATCAACCTGGTTGTGGTCACATAGAATAAAAGCCATTATAAACATAAGGGCTAGGTTTTCTCATTACCTGATATGTGTGTGCTGTTACGTTGAGTTGATTCAAGAACCGACAACACTGCACTCGGCGCATGCCCATAACTACTCTGTTCCCATCTTCAGCAGCCAATGCAGTGTCTGATTACACGTCGGTCTTGCCTTTCCTCTGAAAGTCGAGTATCGGCCAGATCCCCTCGTCACTCCAGGCTGCATTACTCTCACCAGACGGTGATCCATTTGCTCCTCTAAATCGTTCATCTGTTCCTATAAGGCTTTGACCAGCTCTGAATTATTATGTATCAGCATCCATTAAGTTGTGCAGAGCCAGCCAGTCTGTCCGCTTGTTCATTCCCCAACACACTGGCATAGCCCGGAGAAAAGATCCATACAATGCTGCTGGCCTGTGACCTCCGAAGCGAAGCATGCTACTCTGCACGACTTATGCCTTTCCTAACCTTCCTCTGCATACTTGCTGAGTCAGTTACAATCATGATGTTTGTTTACATATTTTGTTTTCTAACCAGCGGAAAGCCATCAATTTTTTTTTTAATTTTTTAAAGACCGCTGACATACAGTGTCTCCTATTTTCTAAATGTGTTCTGGTTATTGTTGCTTACGTTATAACATTTTTGGATGTCGATATATATATATTTGCTTTTTTTTCCCTTTAGGTATAAGAAGTTATGTTTCAGCTATTCTATGAACCCAACAGTGAGATTATAAGGAATTGCTATTTCAGCTTCGCAGGCCAGTAAGAATTGCTTGTCGTGCCAGTTTTGGCAAGCGCTTCATAGTTTGCCCACTTTGGATTAAACCCATATGACCCCACCAGATACTAATTTAAGATAAAACCACCTTGTTGATTGTTGCCATCTTTCCCGTCTTTCAAGAGAAAGTGTTTGCTGGACTGCATGGAGTCATTAAATTCACATCTGATGGTGATTGCCGTTGTGACTAGCAAGAGAAGACAGTCGCATTATGACACGTCTTCCACAAATAGAGCATAACATTTTTCGGCTATAGTTGTCATGCCATGTATTATCCTTTATTATACAAGGCTGCCTTAGCTACCTAAGCAATATTACCCTGTAGCGCAAATTATAATTACTACTATATTTTACCTGGTGTTTTTTAAACCAGACCTATATGAGCTGTGGCTACATCATAGTGTACATTTTCGCATTAATGTTCTTTCCGTTCTACTCCTTAATTACACAAAAAGGAGAAACAAAAATTATTATTTGAAATATAGCGATTGTTGATCTCAATTCTCTGGACGTCTCTTCTTTTTCTTCTTCTTCTTCTTCTTTTTCTTCTTCTTCTTCTTCTTCTTCTTCTTCTTCTTCTTCTTCTTCTTCTTCTTCTTCTTCTTCTTCTTCTTCTTCTTCTTCTTCTTCTTCTTCTTCTTCTTCTTCTTCTTCTTCTTCTTCTTCTTCTTCTTCTTCTTCTTCTTCTTCTTCTTCTTCTTGTCTCTACTTCTGGAAGAGATCTCTAGAACGTGCATTTCTGTTCGCTTCGTATATAATACTTTTCAGTGTGTCTGATATTTCTGCGGTCCATCTTCTGCGTGGTCGACATCTGGGTCTGTTACCGTGCCTATACTTTGCAATATTGAATTATATGTGCAATAATTTCCTAATTATAGATGATTTTTATTAAATATGACTTCATCATCGTATTCAGCATCATGTTCTGGTAATTTCAGATCACATGCTGAGAATCGTTTCCTCGAATGGTTCCACAGATACCAACGAGGGAAGGCTAGAGATCTATCATAAGGTACGTACTTCAGGGAAGTTCCAGGGAAACCACTGCCGTGTTTGTCGGCGTCGACAACCAGGAACATGTATAGTTCTCAGGTTTTTATAACCACTTTATGACCTTCGCTCCAATGTTGAATAAGAATCGACATCATTGCATTTGGGACACTACCAAAAGCGCTCTGTCCTCATCTTCAGCAGCAAGCGAACCGTTCTAATTCCGAGGGTACCATTAACTGTCAGATTCTACATCCTTCCCGCCTTTCCCTTGAGTGCTGAGCCAAATCCCCTGATAACCTCCTGCAGCGTCATTCATCTTAGACCGTATGATCTATTTTGCATCCGCACTGTTCACTCGCTCTCAAAGGGCCCTCACACCATCTAAGTTGTCATACATCAATTCATCTCTAAATAGCGCAGAACCGACTAGTTTGGCCATCTGTCTGCTCGTTTCCAAACACACCAGCATGACCTGGAGAAAAAATCTAAAGAACGCTTTCTAACTGGGATCTCTGGAGTCATGGTGGCCACTCTGCACGGAGCGCGCCTGTCTGCACCTTTCTCAACATACTCTGTGAGTCAGTTGCAATGAAGACATGTGTGTACAGCTGATTCTCCGTCAAGCGGAAAGCAGCAGTAACAGTCTCCACCGCCTTTCTCATACTAGACGTTGTGATATCATATATCAGGCTTTGTTGTGTCCATTGCGATGTCTATTCGCTTTTTCTATGAACCCCTATAGCCTGCCTTTACCTCTCAACACAAAGCCATCTGTATAGATAATCATATCAACTGATTGGGGATTGTCATGAATTAGTTGTTGAACGTCTTATTCTGCAGCACAAGCTGGCTAGTCCCTGCGCTCACATGAAGTGATTAGAGCCCTACACACGTGTGATTCTTTGACTTCGCACGAATGGATTTAAACAGTGATGTATATTTTGTAACAAAATCAAAAGGTCAAAGCAGGTTTCGTGTGTTTACCGTATACTGATTAACCTCCGTTATATGTTTAAAGAAAGTATAAGATGCAAAAGTGATGAAATCAAAGTACAAATCAGTAACGCAAAATACCATTATCGCACAGGCTGTTTGGCAAATAAAAGTAAAGTCCTCTTTTCTACGTTGGCAGGCGTTTTGGGCACATTGATTAAGACCTATATATTAAAGACCAATTGGAAATTGGTGGGTGATGTGGCCAACATCACGCTAGCCGCCTTTACCTCCCGGGTGCCCATTCAAAGCTGGTTCAGTTTAACTGCAGACGATCTGACAGAAGTGAGCACTGATTATGACAATGGTGTGGAGTGTCGGCGATTGAGTAGCATTGACAAATTTCCCAGCATAAGACTGTAAATTCTGCAGGTGGCTTTCACATTCCTTTAAATGTTTTTCAACTAAAACTAACTGATTAAGTGTGGACATTGATCTGCCATCACTGTCACAGATGTCTGCAGATTCAGAATGGCTGAAATCAGCAACCTCCTGACTTTATGAATGAGAGATCAGACTATGGTAGGTGTTAAGTGAATTAGGCATAAAGCAGAAATTTACTAATTACGAAACAAATTAAAGCCAAATTCATTAAGAAGCCAAACAAACGTAGGACATACGATACTGAACATTTCGAGTGAATATTTCTTATTCACATAAAACGGGAAGAGAAAAAAAAAAAGTTAGCAAAGTATTCAAATCCGCTTGTGTGTGTGTATATATGTGTGTGTGCGTGTGTGTATATATGTGTGTTTGCGTGTGTGTATATGTGTGTGTGTGCGTGTATGTGTGTGTATATATATGTGTGTGTGTGTGTATATATGTATATTTATATATATATATGTGTGTGTGTGTGTGTGTGTGTGTGTGTGTTAGGTGGGGGATAAATGTAATTTTGTATGAGACACTACCATTAGGATGTAAAATATTTGGCTTTCATATACTCCAGGTCATCCGATATGAGGTAGGCTGGCCATTTTTTTTCCCACTCGTCGTCCCTCCCTCTCCTCCCTCTTTCCACGGACAATTCCCACAATATGCTGACAAGTGTCTGTAGCCTCCTCACAAACCTCACGTTTTATCAGTCGGGATTTTTCAATCGCACAGGTCACTATACCACTGCATGTATAGAATGATTGTGTGGTAAAATCTTCCCTTCTTCTCTTGTATGGAAAGCCGTGCACCTCTCAACTTCTACATTCCGGATGTTACCAGACAACACACGTGCAAACATTTCAAGGAAGAGTTCGCGTTTGATCACGACACAAGAAAATCTGATTACATCTTCCGCTGTAAACACACCGATTCTGTCTTCAGAATTCGGGACTTTGGTTCGAGGACCGGCGCTCGCAAACGCTTCATGTCGAAAGAGGAGCTGTGTAAACATTACATCTGTCGTCAGCAGTGGAAATAAATACCTAACGCCTACATAGGTTTATCCAGCAGATTATAAACTCAATGGCTGGTTTGAGATTTGATAAATAAGAGATAGACTTGCATTGCCGTTACATTTCACGGTGGTACGATTTGGTTTTACCATGTATCAGATCACTAGCTCCGTGTGTGGGTTCTGGGGCCCCTTTATGGGGAAAACAAGAACAGACCCACTGCCTCCTAAACATGCGTGTTATAAGAGTCGACTTATCTGGCAGCTTCCTTTGAATTTGCAGTGCATTTGCCTGAGAGTTAAATACCAGAAGTCTGCATACATATAATCCAGATCTGTAAAACAGATGTGCACGCAACGCTCTGGTTCTGGAATTAAAGTCCAGAAGTAGAGGGATAACCAGAACTTTTCGCTGGAGCTTACAGCCAGTAAATGCTAAGGTGAAGAAGGTAGCTAGCAAATAGGTCTTCAGACATCAGATGACTGCCAGTGATCAAACTCGAATTAAAGTAAAGAGCATCCCTTAACATGACCACAAAAAGAGTCGCCGTGTACTGTGGATTGGTTCATAAGGTGGCTGTGGCAGGCTTTTGACTGGAACCGATGACGGTAAACTGGTTTTGAGGTTGCTCAGATGTTGAGTTGAGTTAAGTCAAGAACTGACATCACATCACTCGGGGCATTTCCATGCTTGCTCTGTCCTCATCTTCAGAAGCCAGCGCAGTTTCTATACTGATTTACTGGTCACAATCTGGTTATACGTCCGTCTAGCCTTTCCTCTGGGAATAGTGAGCAGGCCAAACCCAGGTGCCTCATTCTCTCCAGGCCATAATAATCTTCTTTCTCTACTGATTCTGACCACATCTGCCATGTGATGTATGCTCATGTTTTTATAGAAATAGAGGCTCCTACCGTGCCATCCTGATGACTGTGTACTCGAGAGTATTATATCCAGTTTCTCATTGTTTCTTGCATGGAGCTACCACAGAATAAGTAAAAAAAAAGTAAAGTAAAGGTCCATTTTGCACGCCTTAAGGCGTATAGGGCAAATAGGGCTAGACCTATATTTTTATAGACCAATCGGCACAAGATGGGTGATGTTGTCAGTATCACGCCAGTCGCCTTCACTTTCCCGGGACTGCACCCGGTACCCACTCAAAGCTGGGTCGACCTGAGAGCCAAGGTCATTTTTGAAAAAAGTCCGGCTCCGCCAGGGAGCGAACCCTCGACCTTCCGATCCGCGGCGAGCGTCTAGCCGCTCGACCACGGCAACTTCCCTACCACAGAATATATGTTAGAAAAGGAAATTGAAATAAACTGGAAGTTAACTCATAACGTATGCTACAAAATCAATTTTAACGACTTGTCCAACATCAGAGGACAAACGGTTAAGCACACCAGGCTCTCATGCCCGAGAACCAGGTTAGAATCCTCGATGAGGATGTCGGATTGTTTTCCCTGTTGGCGGTATAAATAAAATTCGTACATGGTCAGTCCGTAAGGACCGCACTAACCATAAATCCTCAACCTGAAAGATCCCCCCCCCCCCCCTTTTTTTCCCCATAACTCTACTAATACAAGATAAAAACAGTGTAAATATAGGCATTATTTTCAGTTTTTGGCATACTATCAAAAGACTTATTAAGTGATCATGATTTGCTACAAAGGAAGCAACTTCTATAAAATATGGATGAAAGCCATAAAATAGTTAGAAAGTGATTGAAGAGACAAATATATAACAGTATTTGGACATACCGTGAAAAGGAATACATTCAAGGGAGGTGACAGTTGACAAATGACAAGACTGGAGTAAAGATAGCAACGGGAAAACAATAAGACTTCGCGACGTGGATATGGCCGGACAAGAGCACTGACCTAATTCGAGATTCTGGTGATCGTGTGCGATGGCGAAAAATAACTGCTTACCATTATCCGCTGGGAACATGATGATGATGATGATTTAAAAGCACGGGATACGCTATTTACGTCAATGGTACTTACATACGTTGTCTGTAAGAGCACATCCTAACTTTATTAAATGATCCACAAAAACACAAAACGTCCGTGTTGTTTATAGTTCAAAGTCAATGCTCGACCTTTAGAGAAGCAGTTGCAATAATCAGAGAACTAATTCAGTTAATTACCTTCCTTTCCTAACCTATGCGCATTTCGGCGTATAAACAAATGACTCATCTCTATGGACTCATTAACCGTCCAACGTCTGTTTCAACACAAGACTATACGTCTATATGAAAAACGTACGTTTCCTGAAGTAATGTGTGCGTCATGCACACCGTGTCGATGATGTCTTTAAGTAATGTGCAGCTAGTACAGGCGTCTTGATGTAATGTGCACTACTTGATGACAATTTGGATGTTCTAATGTATCATATGCTACGTGCAGACAACATCGGGGTCTGAAAGTTATGTGAGCTGCATGCAGGATGTCTGGGTGTTGTAAAGTACTGTATTCTAATGCATTCATTGTCAAATTCTCTGAGAAGTATCAATTAATACAGACGGTCCTGACTGTTTAAAGTAACGTATAGACAGTATCAGTGTCTTGACGTTATGATTAATTGTACATACAATATTGGTGTCTTAGAGTCATGTGTACCGATACAGACATTTTTGTTGTTTTACAGTAGTAGTGTAGTAGTAATACAGGTGATATCGGTGTCTTGGAGTAATGTGCCCTACATGTAGACAATTAAAGTGACTTGAATTAATGATAGGCGCGTGTAGAAAATATATTCACCTCCTTGAGTGAACTTAACAAACGAAGAAAATAAATAGCTCACTACATCTAGTGAAATGATTCAGCAGGTTCTAACGGTTCTCAGCGTGACTCACTGCACTGATGTGCTGTTGCTGCAGACACTCGTTTACTCAGGTGCCAGGTGTCTTGACTACTGTGATGCTAACAGAGATAAGCCTGGTCTTCGCTGGCATGTGTGGATTGTTTTAAAGAGATGGTGACTCTCTTGAAAACCTCTATAGCTGAGTGCCTTTTACGTACTTGAGGAAAAGGGGAGGAGGGAGTGCGGGGGATGTGGTAGAAAAATGGCTAGTCGCTTGCCTACCTGCACGAAGGTTTTGTGCTCGTATCTACATCGGGGATGCTATTGTTTTGAAATTATCTGTGGTCACCTGTCTAGATAAACTAAAAAAGTGTACCAGTACTGGGAACTCCAATATTCGTTAACGCCAAAATTCGTCCCCCCCCCCTCCCCCCTCCCCCCCCCACCCACCCACATGCCCATCAAAATGTTTGTTAGATATTTGCGTAAAAAGTCCATTATATTCAAAGGTTAACCCCCTTTTAAACAATAGCCATTTTTTCCCTTCATCTAAAGGGTAGGTTTCTTTTTTCAAATTCACATTTTTATGTACGCCTACATTATCTTTACATCGAGACGATTGAATCTGTCATATGACAAGGCAATAATAAATAGAGTGGTTGATATATTATTAAAATTACTTGCAACGACTTCGAAATCAAATTTTTTTTAAAATTTTGTTTGTAAACGAATTCATAGACAAAATTGGGGGCTGTGAATGGATTAAACCATGTTCAGTTAATTTCCATGGGTGGGTGGGGTGGGGGGGGGGCCGAAGAGGGTGCCGAGTGGGAGTGGGAACTGGTTCGGTAATCGTCAATTTATCGATTGCTTCTCTCTCTCTCTCTCTCTCTCTCTCTCTCTCTCTCTCTCTCTCTCTCTCTCTCTCTCTTTCTTTTTTTCTCTCTCTCTCTCTTTCTTTCTCTCTTTCTCCCTCTCTCTCTCTCTCTCTCTGACCCACCCACCAACCCACAGGACGGTTTAATTATGATAAATGGAGATCCACTGTAATGGCCTTGAAAGTTAGGAGCTGCCTGTGTGATGCTGAATCCCTCACTCATCGGATGAGTGTTAATTAACTCTTTTCGGACGTTTAGCCAGTATACTGGCGCTTAAGTCTATCCCTTAAAGACGTAAAGCCAGTTTACTGGCTTATGATAGAGACACTCTAATTTTGTTCCGTTTGTAGGGTAAACGAACTTTTATGAACAAGTTTTTAAACAATTAGGATTAACAACAGGATGTACTTTCATTTGCGATGTTCATCGTGGTCGGTGCATTATTTTGTGATTTAACAAAAATTTATTTAGATGGGATGCAATTTTTCTATACTAAATGAAAAGGGAAAACGTCTAGAACTGTCCATACTGCTCTATCGTTGATAAATCCCTGTCAGATGATGACAACAGTCTTGATATTATGATTGATATCTAAGGGACACATCTACTAACGATAATTTAGTTTAGGATATGAAAATTTCACAAAATATTTCAATTAGATCAATGTTTCGATCAGCTGTTTTTCCGATTTTCGGTTGTTGTGAAAATTGACATGTCATACAAAAATGATTATAATATCCAAAGTATTTAAATTAATTGTTTCAAATAAAGACTAGCTAATACATATTTGAACAGAGAAGGCATGTGTATACTTAGAATTGGATAGCAATGTGTCTGAACCAGTAAAAAATAAGGTTAGCACACAATTTTGTATGTTTAAAATTGTCCTTTGTGTCTAACATCCCTGAATTTTGTGTGATTTTAATAATATTTTGATGTTAAACTGACATTTAAATAGTTTAGATTTATTCTGCACTCATTTATCTTTAATTTGATATATTTTAGGTCCCGATACAGCCCATACTTTTTCTTCAGGAATGTTTTAGCTTTGTCGTGTTGCACTTAAAAAATTCCGCTTAAAATTAATGCTGTTCAAACCCTAGAAAAAATGCAGTCCTTAAAGAGTTTAAGGCCCAGGCACGCCACGCACGTTGAGCTAAAGGCGTAAAATCTTGTTTTTTAAATTACCTCATTCCCTTTTTTTTAACGGAGACTATTTATTTGACTTGGAGAAACAAAAACACAACCGCTAGTATCATCAGTAATAATAATTTAAAAATTTTTTTTTTAAAAGAAGATAGAAATATACGGGGTACATCATGAGAAGAGACTGACTGGGAATCAACAAGCAGGATCTCGATCATCGATTGATTTGTCTACCCTGGGCTGCTACCTGAATTTTGAGTTAAAAATCGACACCGCAGCACTCAAGGGGGGAGGGGGGGGGGAAGGTAAAAAGCCTTCCGTTCCCATCTTCAGCAGCAATCGAAGAGTTCCAATTCCGATGATAACAGTAACAATCTGAATGTATGTCCGACTCGCCTTTCCCTTAAGTGTTGAGCGTAGGACAGATCCCCTGGTAACTCCCCGCAGTGCCATTCTCCCCAGACCGTAATGATCTATATGTGCCTCCGCACTGTTCACTCGCCCCCTTAACAACATCTAACTTGTCATACATCAGATCACCACTAAGTGGTGCGTACACGTTGCAGAACATCAGCATTTTTTAGCTTTTTGTAGTTTTTCTAGGCAAATTTTATGTATTTTAGTTTGCCACTGCTTACTAAACGGTCAGCTCTCGGTACCACTTTTTGAAACCAACGCAAGACAAATCGTCCGCCGCTGGAAACAACCCCGGCACTCAGCATTACGAAGCGCGTTCGCAACTCCTACGCCACAGACGCCGACATATATTCGTATAGCATCGTTATACTAGGGCACAATAAAACGAGGTAACCTCAGTCTAGTGTGGGTCTCTTTTTGTCCCCTTAATTATTGTTACCTTCAATATTGTTATTCCTTTGTCATTTTAGAATGCTTGGCTTCCTGTCTGTGCTGACGGCTGGACTGATAGCTCTGCAAGGGTAGCCTGCCAACAGATGGGATTCTCCAGCGGTTACTGGCTATCCTTAACAAAGTCGGTTTCCAACGAGAACTCTACGTTCCTGGGAAAGACCGTTTGTGGTGGGCTAGAAACCAGACTGGACATTTGTCCTAGTGATGGATGGACAGACTCTTGTAGTGGACACAAGGCAGCTGGAGTTAGTTGTCTATAATTCTATTCGTGTTCTGATAAGGAAGTAGAATTTTTAGAAAGAGATGTTTTTTTTTTAGCGCCCATCCATTTGTAATACCCAGTCGAAGGCGTTGTTCGATGCAAAATAAAATAATTCATAACACAGAGAGCATTACCAGAAGATCTGACATAATTCATCTAACAGGGCTTACAAGAAGACATACTATAGCATTACGTAAGTAAAGTAATGGACACTTTTTCCAACCTTCAGGTGTATTGTGTATTTAGGGCTAGACCTATATATTATAGACCAATCGGCACTTGGTGCCTGAATTTGGCTCCAAGGTAGAGAAAGTTTTAAATGGCTACCAGGCAAAGTCTTGGGAAGAATAGGCGGTCACATGATGCTGACCACATCATCCACCAAGTGCAGATTGGTCTATAAAATATAGGTTTAGCCCTATATGCCCAGTACAACAAAAGACCTGCATTAACACAATAATTACACTATTAGACCTAATCTAGTGCATTTAATTCACCTATACTTTTTATTTAGTACACTGTTGACGCTGATAAATAGACCCTCACATTCTGTTAAGGCTTATAATTTGCCTCGGCCCTTACCTTTGATATTTTTCAAGGAAAGAAGATACAGGCAAATATAGACTTAAAATAGTAAAACTCATACAATGCATTTTTTCTTTAACATTTAAACTTACAAGCATAGGGCAGTAATTTATCAGAACAAAGAAAGAAAGAAACAAACACATAAACAGCAACAATATTAAAACTACCTTCATTTGTGTTTATTCTCTGTCACGAAGATGCAGGAATGCCAGACTCATAATAGGACTAGTTCAAAAAGTCCTAAACTATGCTCTCAACAAATCCTGCGAGAAATTAATCAATATAACAGTCTTTGTCCAAAATCAAACATCTGACAATATTTTGAATGTAAAACCAGCTATCAAGTCAGTATAAGTCTTTCTCCGATATAAAACACATAACAATATTTGGTTTTTACTGTAAAACCAGCTATAACGTCAGTATAACAGTCTTTCTCCGAAATCAAAGAAGTAACAGTATTTTGAATGTTAATCCACCTATCACGTCAGTATAACAGTCTTTCTCCGAAATCAAACATAAAAATATTTGGAATGTAAAACCAACTATCACGTCAGTATCACAGTTTTTCTCTAAAATCATACATCAAATGATACTTGTAGCACCAATATCTTACCCAGACCTACAATATTATTTACACTGGTACCAGAAAGAAAAAGTCTATAGTAGGCCAGAAAGAAAAAGTCTATAGTAGGCATACGATGACTAAAAGCTTTAACTGTGTATATTGATGTATATATTGTTTAACATAAGATTTACAAATGAACAGTGAAATGCGAGTGTATATATAGAATTTAGTCGCTGCAAAGATATATACAGTAGTGTCATATTGCTTGGAAATGTATGTGTATGAAATATATAAACTTCTGTATGAGATATAAAATCCATTTAATATACTTTTAAATAATTTTGGAAAGTTTGTTTTAGATTTTACTAGTTCGTTGAAATTAGTAAATAAAACACATGTTACACTATGGTTCACAAAGAAAATTACAATATGTCCCATAAAGTGTGTTTATCATTTTAAAGAACGTTTGGTATTAAATGGCAGGAAAGGAACACAAACACAGAGGTATTGGAAAAAGATGTATTTCAACAGTCTTCTTAATAATTAATCTACGAAGGCTCAAGTGGCTGAGTCACTTCTGGAGAATGGAGGATAACAGAGTCCCTAAGGACATTTTTTATGGTGAATTAAAGACGGGTAGAAGATTTCTCAATGCCCTGTCTACGATGGCTCAGGTGGCTGGGTCACACCTGGAAAATAGAGGATGACAGAGTCCCCAAGGACATCCATTATGATGAATTAAATACGGGTAGAAGATGCCGAGGCCAACCTCTACTACGATATAAAGACGTGTAAAAGCGGTACATGAATGATACATGAATTGAGGTGGACTTGTGGGAACAAAATGCCATAGACCGTGTTGTGTGGAGGGGGCACACCAGGAAGCGAATGAGAATAAAAGAAGAAATGATTGCAGAAGGGATGAGAGTTAAGCGTCTGCGAAGAAACAGATTTAACACAAAAGTTGACAACAACGGTGCTGAAATCCAATGCCATATTTGTGGAAGACTTTTCTTAACGCTGGCAGTTCTTGCTAGTCACACTCGCCATCGCCATGGGCTGTGAGTCTCATGTCTCCTTATAGCGCAATATAACACTATCGTCTGGAAAGACGGAAAGATGCAAATTCCCAAAGACGTCTAAGGAGTTTTTTTAGGGCGGGGGGGGTGAAGTTTAGCCCCCACCAGGACCGTTCCGACAGGAGATGAACAACTGAGGACAAAAGTGCCATCAATTGGATGAGAATCACCCAGCACAAGTCCCAGAAACACCGTTTTACCATTAGAGTCAATAAACACCGTTTAACCATTGGAGTCCATAAAAACCGTTTAACCATTAGTTGTACTAGCCCCCCCTCCCCCACAACCACCATCACCCACTCACCCCACCCCCGCTCGACAACTGCCGGGTTGGGGCTTTAAAATTATAAACAAAAAGAAATTGAGTTTTGTGTTGAAGCAAAGTTACAGAAATTTTTCTGAGATTTTTTTTTTAAAGAGGGTGTGTGTGTGTGTGTGTGTGTGTGTGGGGGTGCGTGCGCGCGCACACAAATCTACACAAATCTACATTTGGTAACTTCGCAAATCTGCATTTACCGAAAAAAAAAAAAAATTTATATTCTAATACAGTCATGTCATTCTTCTCTGCAACATCCTCATACTTAGGTGTGTTTAAAGGGACTAATGAAATTCATCTGATCGGCTGAATATCTTATCTTAGACATTTATTGGGGTAAACCAAGAGGTTTTGAAAGAGACGGGAGCCCGAAAACAACTTATCACAGACATCAGATGGAGACAGTCATCATTTTTCGGCCATGTTATGAGAAGAGGGAAAATAGAACATGTTGTGACCACTGGAAATATCTGTGGAAGGAGAGAAAGAGAAAGAAAACGAGAGAAGATGCTTGACAGGCTTGTTTTATGGCATGGAGGTGTGTCGGCACACGAACTGATATATGCTGCAGGAGATCGCAGATTATGGAGAGGCATGATCGCCCACGCCAGTCGGAAAGGCACATGATGATGACATTGTGGTAGGGTTGTTGAAGATGAGCATGGCTCATTTTGTTGTTAGCTCTTATTTTCAAAGGGAAACGCAGTAGTAACAAGGACGATACGATACGAAGGGAAACAATTTAGGATTGCAAGAATACGATATTTCTGCATGGGTTACATTTCTTCCCAATTTGGTTATAAAGCCATTTTTTTCAAGCACAAGTTAAGTACAAAAGCACACATGTTTGGTTGACCATAATCTCTACAACTAAAGATTTGGCACCGAACTAATATTTAGTCTTAAAAAAGAGATATCTAAACAAGACAGCTTAAAGAGAACAATAACCACACACAGACATACAAATTTGGAGCTAGCACCATATATTCAGTAAGCCTTGATAGTGAACTAGAGTCGTCCCCTTGTTAAATGTAATTTTTCGTTATTTGTAGCCCTATTCTGGCTTTTGCCGGGGGCCATGAAATCAGCTGGGCCACTTTTGTGACCATAACGGCTGAAAAGGGTTTCTGGGACCTCTCCACTGATGATCCTTATCCGCATGGTGGCACTTTGTGTCACCGGGTGTCTATCGCTTGTGTGATGTCCTGGTGGGTTACAGCAAGCAGTGATCAAGTCTCTGGTTTAAAGCGGGCAGTAAGGGAATGCGCTGTTGTCGGAAGAAGAAACCTGCGTCAGGAAGGTTTGAAGAGTTAAAAGACTAGTGGGCGTTATAGCGATTCAGTTGTGACTATTCCAGATGGTTGATATTTCCAAGCAAACCAGAGACAATTACTTTAACAACATAAAATATTGAAATACTAGGTTTAGTTAAAACAGATGTTCATTCTTTTAAAAAAAAAAAAGATTCTAGGACAAGTGAAAAAAGGATTAAAAATAAATATAGTTGTCAAAACATCAGCACAAAATAGTGTGTATAAAGACTAAGGTCTTGGATCATAGCGGGATTAGACGGTGTGGATAAAAGAATGAATCAAGAATTTATATAACTGCACACGGGACATTTCCACACGTGGTCCGACCCCCCCCCCCCTTTCCCACCCCACCCCCAACCACTTCTTCGGTAGCCAACGAAGAGGCATCCTGCTAATGGTACCAGTTGCAACCTGATCAAAATATCAAGATAAAAAAACCGCACAAAAAGTATATCAGCGAGCTTCACAATATAACAAACACAAATAAAACGTGAACGTTGCGGCTATAAGGCCTTCTTCGGCACATACATAGATTAGACAATACTACACAAATACACAAAATCACTTATCTTCGTATCTCGTGGCAGCCAGGTTGATGTAAAGACAACCTGATTAAATGTCTGCTTCTGTTTCCCTATCAGTGTTGATTATCTTCCAGAATCTCTAATATTTAAACACATTATGCCCCAACCCCTTTCCCCCAGATTTATTACACATACTATATTTAGTATTCTTACTATTTTAAAATGTAGGTTTAATCAGAGCATATCTTAGCAATTATGGTTGAGAATTAGATGTAGATGTGTATTATTTTGACGCTAACTGATATTTGAATGGAATAATGCATGTTAGGAGTGAGAACAAAATGGCAGAATTTAAGGTGGGTCACAATAGCCTAATTCCTAATTAACCCTTTAGAATAATGTTCCATCTTCCGTTCGTTCTTTCCTTCTACACACTCCCCGCTAGATACATATTTCAATGTATGGATTCTCTGCCTGTTTTATTGCACTGTAAAGATTATATAGACGCTATAATACAAGTTTGATTAACAAGTGTTTAAACACAGGGCGTCCCAGTCTGCCGCCTTGAGGCGCAGCAGACATACATTGCTAAGCACATTTTTTAGAGACCTGTCGA